TAATTCATTTATGTATTATCAAACTCTGTAGTATGTTTCGCTGATTTCAAATATGTATAACATCTATAAGTTTGACTTTTGTTATTATTATTACTATTCGTTCTTTGTCTGAAATGTTTCATTCTGTTATGTTTATAATTATTGAACTTTTACTTGGCAATTTGATTCACAAGGGGGGAGGGGGGTAGGATGGCCTAGTGGTCTAGAGTGTTGAGCTTCGACATCTAGATGGCCGGTCACCTCTCTGGCTTGCGGTTGTGGTTTCAATTCCTGGTGTGAGCATATGTGGCTTGGAGATAGGGCGCCTTCTCAACCTCGTGGGTTTACCCCTACACGTGCGCTAAGATAATAAAAATGAAAATAAGACAACTTGTCTGCAATATCACCTTCGAAGGACGCAGATGTTAAACACTAAGAAAAACAGCATTCACAATAACTTTCTCTACGATATCATGTGGACGTAAAACTCTGGGAACGATCGATTCTCAATAAAACTCTAGATCCTACATATACATATGCGGATCCTTTTGAAAACTCGTAATGACAAATGCAAATTGATACTCAACTGTATAAAATTGATATGCATTATTAGAATTCGTAAAATGGAGAGGGCTATAGAATTTCAACAATTTCCATGAATTACTTCTAAAGTTAATGGCGCTTGTTTCACTTGTAGATCCTTGTGAAAACTCTAGCATTATTTAAATGAATAAAATGTTGAATTTCTGTTCTTATTTCTCGAGTTATGACCCTTGTTTTACTTTGTTTGTAGAACCTTAGAAAGCTCAATAAACAAAAGTTATCATTTGAATTGTATGAAATTTATATGCATTGTGTAAATTAATTCAATTAAAAAGCCTATCTAATTTGAATTTGAAACCTTCAGACAAATTTAAAAGATTATTTTGTCATACTTGGGTGTTTATTGGTATCTTGTGACATTTATAAGGTTGGTCTGCTAAGGGCAAAACTTGTTGAGTAAGTGTCTTGTGTTGTTCATCAAAAAGAGTAAGCTTAATCTTGGCTGGCTAAATGGTCAAACACTGGCTTTAGAGGCTTTAGATCATAATTGAAATGAAATGGGTATTAATGGCCTATTGTTCTGCTCCGACAGTGCTAATAAAGTCTTCTATGAGGGATATTTTGTCCGGACTACTCTTATATTGAATAACAACTTCCAAAGGATCTTTTACATACACAGGACCTCGTTTTTTCGTCCTAGTCTCTTGCCAGGACCTCCATCCCAATGCTGGAATCTAACACAGAACGTCCAAGTTAGTGAGCTGTCTTACTCACAGAGCCATCTTGGCTTCACTTTAGATCATAAGGTCGGTCATTGAGTCAATTGACATGGTTCAGTTCCCAGCTTGAAGGTGACAAGCAGTAGGGTCGATCGTCTAAACTTGTGAGTTCCTCCCATTGCAGGAGAATTATTAAAATAAAATTGCACCATATTAATCCCTGAATGACCTAGTTTGTGTCAAGTAGATGTTCAACTGCATCTCTCTTTTGCTCTCTCTTTATTTTTAGAAATCTTTATAATGGAAAATGTACCACTTCTCATTTGGGAAGTACATGTAGCCTACTGATAGCTTACAATTTAGATTTGTATTTCAAGAACTTGCTTGGTGACCAGTGCTTCAATATTACCTTCTACCAGATATGGTTATGGGTTCTGAAATCAATCCAATTATTTATAAGTAGTATGTGTTGTGCATGAAACAAGATATGCTAACGTTTATTTTTAGAATGAATGCCAGATATGCCCCATTTTACCTGGCTGCTAACTTTTGCAACCTTCATATAGCAAATAATTATGTTAGACAATACATTCAAGGGATATAACTCTATTTTATGAAATGGGTAATTCTATTGTGCAGTGTGTACTGTGTAAAATGAGAGAAACCCAAAATGCCATTGGTTATTTTTCGCCATTGCATTGTTTAACAACCACATTGAAGTAAGGTCATACGTTGTTGTCACAACTGTCCGTGGTCCACAATTGTTTATGGATGCTATCGAGGTTAAAAGTTAATATCCGATTGTCTTTAAAATTATACACATTGTTTAAGGTCATGAGATGAAGAAGCTAAATTTATCATTGTATAACATTTTTTGGCAAAAGCTAGAAGCCAATCAAATTTTAATGATTTATCTTAATTACGCAATGGGTTGTTACTTAAACATGCATTATGCAAGAGCAAAATCTGCTTATTACAAGTCTTTCTTTACGCCTGAAATGTTATCTAAATTATCAATTAGACATTAATTAACTTATCCAGACCATAATAAACTCTCGATGTCAAGGCTAGCCTTCGATGTTTGCTGGATTAGATTCTTATATGCCGCTAACAGCTATTGATAATTAAATCAATAAAATGTTATCTCGGTTATTTCTCTCAATGGATCTTCTTCGGGTTTTCATTTTTGGATTCTTTGGACGAATCCCATATGGGCTCTGACTGAAGGTTTTTTGAAATTCGGAAGTTCGCTCGATTAATATTGGCATTAAAGCTTTGTCAAAGTTTTCTTCATCATTTTTTCGACATTCAAGATGGTGTATCTCCGTCACTATTTGATGTATAAGTTGAAACTTGGTAGGAATAAGGAACACATTGATGCTTTCAAAATGGCATATTAAAAAATTTTGTGACGGCTAAGGCCTTCCTATTTTTCCTGAACGTGGATATAGTTATCTCCATTTTAAAAATAGACAAAAAATGACATATGGTGGTGGTAGCCCCAGATATTATCTTCCATTTTGAAAAACTTTGTTCAATAACATTTTCAACCACTTGGCCAACATATTGGATTTTACAAAAAAAACATTCAAATCGATATTCAGCCACCATTTTAATTCTGATTTTCGAAAGCTTTTTTTTTGTATTGAACCTACTACTCCAAATGGCAACAATTCTTAAGGAGTCGATTTTTGAATTTCAATTTGTTTACTTCCGGTTCCACTTTGAATTGTGTTCGACTTTTCACCTTCTAGATGGTGACCTAACCATTCCAAGATCCTTGACGATTGTGTGTATGATGACCCTGATGTCTACAGAAAAAGGTTCGATCATGAAATATACCTTGCGGTTTTATTTAGAGTTCAAAATGTCTGTTTTTTCCACTTTAATATGTATTGAATGTTACTATACTCAATAATTCATGGTGTAACTTGATTGTTGACGTGACAAGGTGTGATGTGACGCGTCCTGTCATACCGAAACATTTCAGTACCCCTTAGGAGTTCTAGTTTATGATTATTATCATGAAAGTATTAAGTTATTGCCCAAAATCCCTTTGAAAATTTTTGAAGAAGCTGTGGAGGATTAAATTATCATCTGTTAGATCTTGTCGCTGCTCCAAGAATTGAACCTTGTGAATGCTCACACAACAACAGTTATCATCCAAGCTATATGAAAGTTATATGGATTATTTAAATTAGTTAAACGAAGAAGCGTATTGAACTTCAGCAATTTCCATTGATCACTTCTAGAGTTATGGTAAAGGCTTGAATGACAAAAATTATCATCCTATCTGTATGAAATTTATGTATTGCTGTCGCCCCTGTCCATACGTCCATCATCCACAATTTCTTGTGAACACACTACAGACTACATTTATCATCTGATTGTTTTGAAATTGATATATGTTATTAGTGAGATGAAGAATCCTGTTTAATTTCAATAATTTTCCTTTCTTTCTTCTGGAGTTATGGCCCTTGTTTCACGACAAAAGTTATCATTCAATCTGTATGGGATTTATAGGCATCATTTAAATTAGTGACACGAAGAAGCCTATTGAATTTCAGCAATTTCTGTTAATTACTCCTAGAGTTATGGCCCTTGTTTCACTTTGTTGAACCTTGTGACCGCTCCAACGAGAAAAGTTATCATCCCCTCTGTATGGAATTTATATGCTTCATTTAAATTAGTGAAATGAAAAAGTCTATTGAATTTCAGCAATTTCCTTTAATTACGTCTAGAGTTATGGGCAGTTACGGCCCTTGTTTCACTTTGTTGAACCTGGTGAATGCTCCAACAACAAAAGTTATCATCTGATCTGTATGGAATTTATATACATCATTTAAATTAGTGAAACGAAGAAGCCTATTGAATTTCAGCAATTTCCGTTAATTAAGTCTAGAGTTATGGCCCTTGTTTCACTTCATTAAACCTTGTGAACGCTCCAACAACAAAAGTTATTATCCGATCTGTATGAAATTGATATGCATCATTAAGATTAGTAAAACAAAGAATCTCATTAAATTTCAGCAATTTCATTTTTAATTTCTTCTGAAGTTATGGTCCTTGTTTCACTTTGTTGCACCTTGTAAATGCTCTAACGACAATAGTTACAATCCGATCTGTATGAAATTTACACAGATCATTTGAATTAGTGTCACAAAGACTCCACAGCAATTTCCAATAATAACGACTAGAGTTATAGCCCTTGTTTAACTTTGCTGAACCTTGTGAACATTTAAATTAGTGAAATGAAGAATCCTATTGAATTTCAGCATTTTCAAATAATTACTTGTAAAGTTATGGCCCTTGTTGAACCTTGTGTATGCTCAAATGATGAAAGTTATCATCCGATCTGTATGAAATTTATATGCATTATTTAATTGGTGAAATCAAGACTCCTATTGAATGTCAGCAATTTCTGTTGATTACTTCTAAATTTATGGCCCCTGTTTTACTTTGTTGAACTTGTGAACAGTAGTGTCTAAATCCATTAGCATTTTGTTTCTAAAAACCAAAGCCTTGCAAAAACATTAACATTATTTGGGCATCTGATGACCGGAAATAAATTTTGTAGAGATCTTAACTTTCAGTTTTTTTAAAGACTATATTTAGCACATTCGTGTACATGTATGTTACTTTTAACCTACTGGTTTGATTGTATTTCTAATTTGATACACTTGGTACATGTACTTATACCATACATGCACTATTATATGTTATGACTAATATTTAATACAATATCTTTTCTCTTTTCAGAATTTTATCTTAACAAAAATGGAATCCTCCGAGTTGGCCATGGGTGATGAAATTGTATCAGCAATTGATAAAAGTAATACTGCTAATAAGTTGGTGATTGAAAGTGATACAGGTGTGAATACCGTGCATGCACCAACAAAATTAGCCAATGGTCAAGACCAAATATCCATAACACCATCATTGAACAGTGATAATGTTACGGAAACTAATGAATCAAATAACTGTGCCGAAATAAAAACTGGCACTATTAGTGCAAAGGACAGTATTAGTCAAATGGCAGAGACTTCTTATAGTGATAATCAGATGGAATTTGACTGTTCTGAAAGTGTGGAACTAAATGTAAATCCAGAGAAAGATAAAGAAAAGTGTGAAAGTGACAAATTGGCAAATATTGACAAAATCATCTCAGAAACAAATGAAAAGAACATTTTAGAAAATACTTGTAACACTTCCGAACAAACAAAAAAAGACAATTCAATTAAAAGCCAAAATAACAAGTCATCAAATGTTAATGAATCAAAAGAAAGCAGTTCAGATCATAATCTATTTAGTAAAGCAACAAATTCAGTACCGTCAGCTCAGGATGAAAGTAGTATTGTTTCACATAAATGTGAGAAATGTATGTACAAAGCTAGCGACAAGGTATTGTTTGATTTACATGTATGCAAAGGGAAAGTTTCCCATGAGAAAGGACAACAGAAAGAAATCAAGATAACTTGCAATGGTGATCTGTTTTTCTGTGGTGAATGTGGTTTTTCAGGGCAAGGACATAGCTTTGAAGAACATTTGATGTGTCATTTATTATTGCGTCCATATCAGTGTATATATTGTCAAGAATCCTTTATAAATCGGAAAGAAATAGGAAAACATGTAAGTTTGGCTCATCCAGGAAAGAAAATGAACTGTGCCCTCAAGGCAATGAAAAAGGCAAAATCATTTATGGCCGAAACCAAGAAGACTGGAAGCTATACATTTTTTGCTCGAGTATCTGGTCAAGTACCTCTTGGGATAGGTGCTACAAAAACTCTTTGGACACCAACAAAGCCGTGTGAGTTAAAATCACAAGACAAAGTTACAGATTCAAAATCCCACACATCTGTAATTCCAGAACTGACGATCCCAGGAAGCAATTTATTGAATTCATCATCTTCTAACAATGTCAATTGTAATTCTGACAAAAATACTAGTGATTCTGAAACCCAAGGAAAATTTGGAAATTCTATTCCTATTAATTCAAACTTAACATTAGACTATATCCCTGTTAAGGCCATTTCTACTGATGACAGCGATGTGAAATTGACTTCTGACACTCTTTTCATTAAACCAAACATAGACATTGGTGAATATGAAAAGACAAAAGTCACTGAGATCACTGCACATTCTTCCATGAAAAAAGATAATGAGAAATCATCTATCTTACTAGACACTCAGATCACAGACTCTGTGGTAAATAATGCAACAAGTGTTAAATGCAATAAGCAAGAATCACAAAGTGATGACAAAATTCTAATCATTAAAGTAACAAATGACGAAACAGTACCTACTAATGAAGCAGTGCCTACTAATGAAGCAGTGCCTACTAATAAAGAAGTACCTACTAATGATGCTACACCTACTCTTGAGGCTGTACCTACTCATGATGCTGTACCTACTCATGATGCTGTACCTACTCATGATGCAGCACCTACTCAAGATGCAGTACCAACTTATGAAGCAGCAATAATTGACGAAGCAGCACTAATTGATGAAGCATTCATCAGAGACAGTGTCGCACCTTCTGGAAACCAAGGTGACAGTACCAGTATAAAATTTGATAATGGTGCACTGCAAAATAGAGAGGAGTCAATAGATAACTGTGCTGTTTCTTTGCCAAAATCTGAAAACGAGGAATCGAACAGTGATTCAATGGCTATAAAAATAGTTGCTTCCTTTTCTCTGAATATTTGTCCAATAGCTGAAGCTCATAAGTCTAGTGAAACTGATGGAGTAGACCTTGATACATGTGTGACCAGTGAAAATCCAACCACCAAGGAAACTACAGCCGACATTGAAAATACAACCAACAATGAACAAATGAATTTGCAACCTCAATTGCCTGTTTTATTAAATGTACAGCAAATCTTATCTTCTATTAAAAAGAAAACTAGGTCTCCTAACTTTTACGCTTGTGGTTTTCTATGTGACTTCAGCTGTTTAATTTCTACTGATTTTAAGGAGCATCTTCTAAAAGAACATGTTGGTTCAACTACTTATCCATGCTCTCATTGTGGATGGACCACACAAAGTGAAGATGGACTTGTGAAACATGTGACATCGCACTCTCATTCCTACAACAAGAATCTTCCATTATACTTCTGTGGTGTAGTCAAATGCCGATTTGCCACGAACATGTTGCCAGAATTTATAAGTCACATGAATATTTTGCATTCAAGTATTACTGACCATAGATGTAAGGAATGTAATCAGGAATTTAGTGATATAATCAAGCTATTGCAACATTTTGAAGATAATTTTCTGCATGTTGTTAACTGTCCTCACTGCTCGGCTAAAGGTCAAAATCGACAAGTAATCCTCAAACATATTGCTTCTGCCCATCCAGGTAAAGCTAAAATGGTATCTGTTGGGAAGCAAATCATTTGCAAAGACAGAAAAATGAACAGCTTTCATCAGCTGAAAGGGCTGATATCTAATATCAGAAGAACCAGTAATTCTACAAATTTAGAACATATCTTGAATCTAGAAAAGCAGCTACCTTCATTTCTTAGCAACAATAGAAATGTAACCAAAGAAGCTAATACTCCAAATATTATTACTACTGACCAAGTATCTTGTTTGGACCAGTCACCAGTACCTGAAAATAAAACACATACAGAATTTACTGAACCTCAAGATGATCAAGACGATGATTCAAGAGAAGACATTACAGCTGTGAAGACAGAAAATTATGATGATCATCCTAGTCCAGCAAGCTCAACCGATAACCCAGAGAGCAATCTTAAACATCCAGATCAACCCACATCTTGTACCTTTTGTACATTTGTTGCCAGAGATATAACAAGACTAACTGGACATAAAACCTGTCATTCTGTAGGAGGTGATGGTCGTCAGCATGCAAAAAAGCAGCGCTTTAAATGTCCCTACTGCCCACAGTGCTTTGAAAACCTCACTAAGTTTGTCTCTCATGTATCCTGCCATCCGGGACTTATTAAGTTTAATTTGTTTACATGTAAACACTGTGAATACAATACAAATCAAAAACATGTTATAATTAACCACATTGAGGTTAAGTGTGGACGTAATTATTCTGGACTTATTGAAGATTTATATTCTGTAGAAGAGAGACTTCTAGAGAGTAAGGTTTTGGAATGCGAGAACTGCAGTTTTCAAACACGCCATAAAATCCATTTAAAACTCCATTATGAATCTGAACATAAAACTGCCTTCAATGACCAAGGTGATCATGGTGTACAACATCAAGTAACTAATCTTAGTCCAGATGAATTGCCGCCAATAAAGAGTCCACCTTTGTCTTCATCCAGAGAAAACCTAACCAAGAAATTCATGTGTCCAGTATGCTTTTATCTTCTTCCAAAAGGTGCAGATCTAAAGAAGCATATTCGTAAACATCCTGAGCTTGGAAAAGTATCTCTTGTGCTATTTAGATGCCGGTATTGTAGTTGTGCTTCAACTGCAAAACATGTTATAGCAAGTCACATCAAAGCCAAGCATTCTGGTAGGGATGTAGCTCTCGTTAAGAAGATAATATCTGTTGACACCAGGGACTCGGATAATACCTTTTCTGAGACACAAGTATCTGAAACTCCTATGTCAATACCAGAAACCGAAGTATCCCAAATTTTGCTTCAAGAAGAAAATCGGACAACCCCATCTTTAATTGCTACAGTTTCAAATGGGGAGGAAGATAAGGAAACCTATTATCATGTATTTATCGTGCCTGAGTACTCACAAGGAAATTTTGCTAGTCCAGTAAAATGTCCTTGTTGTGAATTTGACAGTCAAGCAACATCGGCTCTCATTCAGCATTTGAAAATGCAACATCCTAAGCTGTGTGTAGTGGGAAAGCAATCAAAACCAGCACTGAAATATTACAAACTTGGATCTGAAGTTCCATTTGGTCTACTCAACATGTTACATGCAGCTGTTGGGCTTAAACAGGAAGCTGTTGTTCTTTCCTATAAAGATGTGTTCTCAGTATCTGCCCATTGCCCAAAATGTGCATTCTCAACATATTTTAAACAAAATTTAGCTCTACATCTGCGAGATCACCATAGAGAATTAACGATTTTAGAAGCACAGATAAATGATCTTAAACCTCCTGTGACTGTTAAAAAGCCATCTACAGTTTCTAAAGCTGAATCGACTTTAGCAAAGCTTCAGCAGCTTCGCAAACAAGATCCGATTATTGTTGGCAGTGGTATTCTTGATGACAAACTTAAAGGACTCTATGAGAATCTTGGTTTTGTGAGCAGATGTGCAATCTGTGGAACTGAAAGGCCAAAAAGATATCATATGCATGTTCATGTTCTCCGACATTTGAATGTTTCATTATGGAAGTGTCAATATTGTGATTATAAGGGATTAGAAAGATATAAAATGTGCAAGCATATCAAAGATCAACATCCCCAAAAGAAAATGGCTATTAAATATTTACCGGTAGAGATAGAAGATAAGATTACGGAGTACCTAAATGAACGATCTTTAGCAGCTGCTGAAGGTTCTGATGCATTACCAAAGGTTCCTCCAAGTGCTAAATATTCTATGGATGCAGCGTTTAGTCCCCTTGGAAATGATGACTTAGATGAACATTTTAAAGAATTATACCGCGAGGATGGTGACATATATTCTTGTATCCTCTGTAGCTTTACAGTTCGACGAAAATTTGCCATTCATAGACACCTTGTCTCATCACATCTTGCAATTGCCTTAGTTGGATGTGGATATTGTGGATTTAGAGGAATTGACAGAAAAAGTATTGTGGATCATTCTCATGAACAGCATGCACAATCAACATTGAATGTTATTCTGTTACCTAATGATTTGAAAAAAATTGTCTCAGAATGCTTATCATCTTCAGGATTGAAAGATGAGGACATTTCCCCGACTCCTGAAATGGATTTAACTGTCCAGTTTGAAGAGCCTAAGAGAGCTAAACAGAAGGCAAGAAAAAGTTTTCCAACTGCCAAACCTCAATTGGCTTCACCACCCAGGGATGATTTTTCAGAAGAAACTACTAATCAATGTAAAAAGTATGTAATGGGAACTGAGATGTTAGATGCTAAGCTTAGAATATTATACTCTACAGATCAAGGTAAATTTAAGTGCACCGTTTGTGAAAATGATTTCCCCCGCAAATATGCTATTCATAGACATATTTTAATGTGTCATTTGAAAGTTGGTTTAATGCAGTGTCCCTTGTGTACCTATTCTGGTGTAGAACGATATATTGTAATAAACCATCTCAAAGAGCACCATAAAGTAGAACAGGATCAAATTCCCTTTCCATGTGAAGTTGATATTGATGAAAAAATATCTAATTTTTTAAGTCAAGAGCTTGGTGGATCAAATAAGACTCGTATAAGAAGTCGGAAACGTTCCAAAGAAATTGAAAAACTAGGTGATATAGAAGGCACAGAAACATCCACTACTAAACCTATGGTTGTTGCATTGTTTAATAAAAAAAAAATTGGTGCTACTGAAAAGACAGATCAAGTACCAGAGACGAAAAAAATTAAACAAGAATTCCTTGAAGATGAAGAATCTCAAGAAATGGAAGATAATACATATGAACCTAAAGATGAAATGGATGAAGAGGCAGAAGCCAACACTGATGAATTAAAACCTGAATCACATTGGGAACTAGCAGAGAATGGAAGTACTTTCAAACCTCGAGCCATGATAGATGTTGAAACTACAATTCAAATAATAAATTTATCTGATGGTTACAATAAGCGCTTTGGCTGTGAAAAATGTTCCTTTACATCTGTTCACCGAGCTAACATTCAGAGACACATATTTCGAGTCCATGAGAATTACAGATATAAGATCTGTCAGATCTGTGGTTACAAAACATTGAGCAATATTTTGATGAGAAAACATATAAATGCTAAACACAAAGGAGCAACGGAAAATGATATTCATTATGAAGAACTACAATCAGACCGAGTACGCCAGAATAAATTAAACAATGAAGAAGTTAACAAATTAGCTCCAGATAATGGACCTAAAGGATTCTATGCTTGTGCATACTGTGAGTTTGAGACAAATACTCCTGAAAACATTGTTAAACACATGGATGCTTGTCATTCTGATGGTTCAAAGAAAACATTAGAAAAACCAGCATCCACAGAGTCTTCACAATCAGTTTCCAAGGGTAATGCATTAAAGAAAAAATTAAAAGCCCCACTTCTGAAAGTTCCAACGTTCTATGCCAAGAATCAAGATGGCTTTAAGAAGAGAAGCTTCAAATGTGAATATTGTGATTTCCAATGTCGGATATATAGACTGTTGAAAAGCCATGTAGCTTTAGTACATAAAGATCAACCGAAAGCAGAAGAAAGCCTGGTACCCAAACCATCATGGAGGTTTGCGTGTGTTGAGTGTCATTTAAAGATGGATGTTGGTACAAAAATGAAATGTCATCTGGGGCGTCACATTGGATATAAGCCATATGTCTGTGAAACATGTACAGCAGACTTTGCATCACCTGATGAAATGCGCAAACACATAAGAAGATACTTGCATTCAGAGAAGATTAACTATGTAAAACAAGATGAACAAGAAGGTATTCTTGAAGATCTTCTGGCAAAATCTAAACAGTACGCAACTGATATTTTGGATGGAAAAGTGCCAAACGTTAATCCAAACCGAATTGGACAAAGAATAATTAAAAAGAAGGGAATTTTGGAAGCACGTGATCAGGAAAGTTCTCCTGGAAACCCCAAGAAATTGAAATTAGACGGTACTCCTGAAGGAAAATGTAATTCTAAAGAGACTAGAAGTGGATTTGGTTGCTCTATGTGTATTTACACTGCTCAGAATATACATGATGTTTCTACTCACCATGTCAGAGCACATAAAAACCAGCCATTTATTTGGAAAGATTTGGTAATGGGTTATTCTTGTGATGTTAATGGCAATATATTGAAATCCTCTGAAAAACTACCCAAGAAAAAAGGAGTAATGTTTAAGACAACAGCTGATAACAAACCTCCATGGCATACATGTAATAAATGTGGCTTTAACACTGGATGTCTACAGGGTATAATTGGACATGTTAAAGCACATGGAACTAGGGATTATATCTGTGCTTACTGTCCCAACAGATACTTTAAAAGGTTTGTTATAGATTAAACAGTTCTAAATAATTCTCTTTAATGAAATTTAAAATGTTGCAATTTTACCTGGTATTAATACAAAGGACTTGTATCTTGAGTCCTTTACATTTTCGGCTTTTTTTCAGAACTACTTAAGAATCCATTAATCAACTGTTGTAGAGTTAAGTCAATTTCCATTACAAAACAACAAAAGGGCTGTTTTGATTATGTTCTGCAAAGAAAGTGACCTTGACATTACAAAAAAGTACTAACTGTAAAAATTTATAAATTCTGCAAGTAACATTATAATACTAGCATTTTGAAGAAAATGTTTTTCTTCATGGAAATTCTACACCGGTAATAGTTTTTATACGCCCACATTGAAATGTGGTCGTATATTGTCGTCACCCCCGTCCGTCCGGCGTCCAGAGGCTAAAGTTAATAACCGATTTACTTTAAATTTATACACAGTGTTTAAGGTCATGAGACGAAGAAGCCTATTGATTTTCAGCGATTTCCGATAATTACTGCCAGAGTTATGGCCCTTGATCACTTTGAAAAATCTTCCGACGCTCTAGAGGCTAAAGTTATCATCTGATTGACTTCAGATTGATACACAGAGTTTAAGGTCTTGAGACGAACTTTTATGACTTGAACAACTAAATCCATGATGTTAAAAGTTTCGTATACTAAACATTAGCATGGGGCAGAACTTTATAAAAACCAATTACTGCCAGAGTTATGGCCCTTGATCACTTAAAAAAATCTTGTGGACGCTCTAGAGGCTAAAGTTAATATTCGATTTCCTTTAAATTTATACACAGTGTTTAAGGTCATGAGACAAAGAAGCCTATTGATTTTCAGCGATTTCAGATAATTACTGCCAGAGTTATGGTCCTTGATCACTTTCAAAAATCTTGTGGACGCTCTAGAAGCCAAAGTTAATATCCGATTGACTTTAAATTTATACACAATGTTTAAGGTCATGAGACGAAGAAGCCTATTGATTTTCAGCGATTTTCGATAATTACTGCCAGTGTTATGGCCCTTGATCACTTTGAAAAATCTTGTGGACGCTCTAGAGGCTAAAGTTAATATCCGATTGACTTTAAATTTATACACAATGTTTAAGGTCATGAGACGAAGAAGCCTATTGATTTTCAGCGATTTTCGATAATTACTGCCAGTGTTATGGCCCTTGATCACTTTGAAAAATCTCGTGGACGCTCTAGAGGCTAAAGTTAATATCCGATTGACTTTAAATTTATACACAGTGTTTAAGGTCATGAGACGAAGAACCCTATTGATTTTCCGCGATTTCTGATAAGTACTGCCAGTGTTATGGCCCTTGATCACTTCAAAAAATCTTGTAAATGCTGTAGAGGCTAGTTAATATCCGATTGACTTTAAATTTATACACAGTGTTTGAGGTCATGAGAAGAAGAATCATTGATTTTCAACGATTTTCGAAAATTACTGCCAGAGTTATGGCCCTTGATCACTTCAAAAAATCTTGTAAATGCTCTAGAGGCTACAGTTAATATCCGATTGACTTTAAATTTATACACAGTGTTTGAGGTCATGAGACGAAGAATCATATTGATTTTCAACGATTTCCGATAATTACTGCCGAAGTTATGGCCCTTGATCACTTTGAAAAATCTTCTGAAGCTCTAGAGGCTAAAGTTATCATCCAATTGACTTCAGATTGATACACAGAGTTTAAGGTCTTGAGACGAACTTTTATGACTTGAACAACTAAATCCATGATGTTAAAAGTTTCGTATACTAAACATTAGCATGGGGCAGAACTTTATAAAAACCAAACAAATTCTAATGGTTTTCTGATAATTACTTAATTAGTTGTTACTCTTAATCAGATTTGAATGTATTATAAATGTTTAATTACCGAAAAAAGTAAAAATATGCGACAACTCATGTTGACTCCCCGGACGATTTAGCTGCTGTGGGCGTATGTTTTGTTGCCTGGCAACCTATCTTTTGTATTGTTTCATAGGATGATGTTGGCAAGACACCAGAAAAACGTCCATAAAGGTAAAAGATTGTGGCTAATACATGAGGTCCTGGATGAAGACAATCTGGAAGAAGATCCCATAAAAGACCCCACCATGCCTTTATCAGGTGAGCTGCAAATACATTGATGTATGTTAGTCATTATCTATTACTATTATCTATATCTTGCGAGAAAGTGATAATGTATTATTTTTTTATGACTGTCAAATGCTTTTGAAAATTTAGATTTTTGTCCAATCATTTCAGTTATTCACAGTAGTACATGTAAATCTTTAACAAAGAGTGAACTACATAAATGAATAGATGTGTATGTAAGATATTGACACCTATTTATTTAATTTGAATGATAAACTGTATGCACATAGCCGAAAATAATAAACATGGTTGCTTTTGCACCTGTCTCAATTTCAACTGTCTGGTATGTAAAAAAAAAATAGATGGGTTTTTCTCAAATTTTGGGGTAAATAGTATGCATGGGTTTATCCCATACTGTAAGTCATCGGAGGAATTTTGATATTTCAAAAATTAAATCAATTATCAAGTTAATTGTGGTTTCAATGTTGCAAATATTTGAAACATTATATGAGTAGTTAACATTTTGTCGAAGAAGGACGATTTATGTACAGATTGATAAACTAAGATGGAATTTTATACTGTTTCAAAAATGTATTTTTTTTTTCAATACCTTTTCCAATGATTATCAATACCCTTAAAGTAGTTAAGTCTCTAACTCAATCTCAACCAAAGTCTTCGACATTGAAAACACAAATTATTTGTCAATTTGGGCTTTTGATATCCAATATTTAAGACAAAATAAACATTTTACCATTGGCTAGACATATTCCACAAGTCATTTTAAGCGGTGACAACATATTCTTATCTGGAGAGCATGCGCAATAAATACTCTTGGTGTAGACTGGAATAACCAGACGCTAGAGATTGCCATTCGATTGGGACTTCTGCCGTATTTCACCGAATATAAAAACGGAAATGATTGAATGTAAATCAGTTTATATACATTCATATTACATTATTATATGTGTTGTGACCAATTTGTGTCAACTTTTAGGTCCCAAATATTAGCGGTTTAGCTCCTTTACAGCGATAATTGCATTTTTTGAAGTCATATGTTTAAAACATGTTAAAATAAAGTCTTAAAATACATGGCATCTATACACAGTTCTACCTTGTTAAAGAATAATCATAAATCATATAATTCACTTGCGTCAGTTTAGAAATTGGCAAATATATTTTCTTTTAAAATCCAACAATCCTTTTTAAGGTGTTATTATCATGTGTGCAGGTTTGAAAAGTCTTGCTCGACTATGCATCATTAGCCTTATCTGTTTAACCACAGACCCTGACAATCGAGACAACTCTCTCTTCCATTGTGTAAACTTAGTTTTCTAGAAATGATACAAGAAAAGAAATGATACAAGTTTTCTAGTAAAAAGAAATGATACAATTTCCAAATACTGTCGGCGACGAGTAGAGATTATTTCAAATTTTTATGTGAATGTTTTTTAAGTACTAGAATTAATCCTACGATTGTAGAGTAGTGATTTGGCAACCTTGGAAGTAATAGATATAGAAATAATTATGTTTTGACATTCTTAGAAAATATGCAATTATTGCTTAAGATCAGAAATAACTTTCAACACTTCAGTTAAATATAAAATACAAGGAGTACAAAACAAGTTCAGTGCAAACTATAGTGGAGACAACACCCTTTTTATGTACTTCTTCAATCTCAAAGTATCTAAGTCTCTAACTCAATATCATCCCAAGTCTTCGACATTGAAAACACTAATTATTTGTCTTTTTAAATCAACATTGATGCTGTGATCTGATATCCAGTATCCAGTTTTCGGCGCCATTTGTACCAAGGGACTCGAACAAGGCTAGACATATTCCACAAGTCATGTCAACGGTGATGCCATATTCTTATGTGGAGAGCATGCGCAATAAATACTAATGGTGTAAACTGGAATAACCAGATGCTAGAGATTACCATTCAATTTAGACTTCTGGCATATTTTTCCAAACATAACAGATTTGAAATTAGAGTAAAAACGGAAATGATTGAATATAAATTAGTTTATAAACATTCATATTACATTATTATATGTGTTGCGACCCATTAGTGTCAATTTCTAGGTCCCAAATATTAGCGATTTAGCTCCTTTAAGCAAAAAAGAGATTGTTGATGGACTGTTTATTACACTTGCTAGGGGTGTCCTAAAAATGCAATTTAGGATCGACATGCATATGGCTTTGTGGTTTAGGAATTCGAGGGAAATCTATAACATTTTACCATTATAAGTTCAGTTTATCATTTACTGCCATACATGTAGCACCCAATTTCAGATTATGAATGCTCCTTTTAAGTCACATTAGAACTTTTGACACGATTCTTCACATTTGTACTCGAAGATGTTGAATATTGTACAATCTTATCATTGGTTGAGACCATGAGAAAATTGTCAGAAGACTTGTAGTAAATAGACTTGTTTTACCAGTAAGTTAAAAAATTCTAAATTGTTGTCAGCGTGACTGGTTAAGGAAATCTCTAAAACAGAAATTTGTTTATTTTAAATTTGCTTTTCACCAGGTGAACAGAATTGACAGATTTAAAGGACATTTTACAGATATAATAGAACTGGTTAAACACATTCCAAATATGATTTTAACATTGTGATCAATGCTGCGGTTCATCCATAACAAGACTTGAAGAATCGGGAATTGACATAAATAAAAAAAAGCAGTTATTGTTAATGTTTGACTTTATTGATAGGCTAGGTCTACTGGAATAAACTATAGCATTCGGTTCAAAAAGTGAGTAGAAAATAAATCAAAACTAAGTCATGCACAGACTTTTTCAATTTTTTTTTTCCTTTTGAACCCATGGTAGTCGATTCTTTTTATGTTTTGAACAAATGTCCTCTTATAGTCTCATATAACAACTCTGTCTTTACATGAATTATAACTGGGCTGAAAATCATCTGTGTTGCTGTTACACACTCTCTCTGCTTGTTGGTAACAATAACTGCTTTCTTTTATTTGCATCACTTCACGATTCTTCAAATCTTTGTTATAGAAACGGTCTCTATGTTAAATATATACATGTATTGTGAATGTTCTATCACATTCACATGTGAGTGAAACGGTTGACACCAACATTTTCCTTAATTCTTTATACAGTATTCAGGTTATTATCTTCATTTTTTAAACCACTTGAGTTATTATTTTGTTCTTGATTTCAGAGAGGCGAGTAAGTTCCAATTTGAATTACTGCTGTCATTTGTGTGATTTTGTAGCAGATAGCCTGTACCATTATAGGCTTCATCTACCTTCTCATGGACAATGTGATCATCTTGTGCCTGATATAGCTGCTGATTCTCCATTGAAATGTGGATACTGTGCTTATGTGGCTTCAGACCAAAAAGATTTTAGTGCTCATATTAACATTCATCTTAATTACCGTTCCTTTAAGTGCTCCTTCTGTGACTATAGTGCTTACAATAGAAAGGATGTTGCATCTCACTTACGATATCTTCATAGTGATGAAGATATATCAAATGAAAACAACTGCATTATTTCTGCTAAGGACACATCAAAACTTTGCAACATTGATGAATCAAAGTGTCGCTTACCAATGCTAGCTAATCTAGATCCTCGGGTGACACTAGTTGACTGTAGTGAATTTCCAAACAGTATTGTTAAGACAAAATCTTTAAATGAACAGGATACTGTGTCATCATCTAATCCTAGTGAAAATAAAATTGTTGATATGATGGAATTAGAGGGGCCATCCTTTCAAACTGAAGGGCTTTTGTCAACTATCCGTATTGGGAAATCTGATGATCCATCTCTGGTCAGTAGTGTCAGTGATGCAAGTGACCTGTGCCAAACTGGTTTAGACCTTGAATCATCATCTATAGAGGGCACTGAAGATTCATTTCAGACCAGTATGACAAAACCAGAAATGGATTCCATGGATGAAGTTGATGGAATGTCATGTGATTCTGCAATGCTCGATTCCTGTGTATCCTCCACTGATGATTCACAAAAAGAAACCGAGCGAACTGACTTTGAAGTATTTGACTCAATTGATAAAGCTTTAGAGCAATTGAACAAAAGCAATGACCAAATTAATCAAGGGAAAAACCTATTTGAGACTTTTTCCTCACCGAATACATCATTTTCTTAAAATAAACAATGTGTTACCCGTCTTAAATAAAGGGCAAGCTGGATTGGTATGCTCTAACTACTGATGTGTGTATGAATTTTTGTCTAATTGAATGAATGGTTTGCATCCATGGAGTATAAATGTAGCATTGTACATATGCATATGGAATTTAAATTGAGATTGTCATGTATTTTGTATTCATAACATTTCATGCCAAATTCAGATTTTAGTTGTCATATATACCATGTGATGAAAGATATTTGTTTTGTTTAAGTTTTGAAATAATGGTTTAAAAACAATTTTTAACACAGCTCTATTATATTTTTTTTTAGAACAAAGATAATATTGCTCTAAAATGTATTTATTATTATTTTAAGAACATTTTTCAAGCTATTTTACTTACAAAATCAATCGCACGATTGTCAATATTCGGTTTCATTATACCACCTGATTTGGATTAAAAGTAAGTATTGTTGGTTTATTTACATGGTTTTTATACGCCCACATTTTCATGTGGACGTATTATGCCGTCGCCCCTGTCCGTCCGTCCACAATTTGTTTGTGGACACTCTACAGGTCACAATTCTTATCCGATTTTGACGAAACTTGAAATATAGGTTTATCTCCAAAAGATCTCGGTTCCTTTCGATATTGGCATGTATCGGATCGAAACTTCATGGATTATGGCCCCTGTTTGTACGAAAAATCACGTTTTTAGCTTGTGGACACTATAGAGGTCACAATTTTTATCCGATTTTGTTGAAACTTGAAATCTAAGTTGATAATCCAAAGAAATTGGTTCCTTTCGATATTCGCGCATATCGGACCGTAACTTCCTGAATTATGGCCCTTGATTGTACCAAAAATTGTGTTTTTAGCTTGTGGACCCTATAGAGGTCATAATTTTTATCCGATTTAAAAAAACGTTCAATTATATCACCGTTACACCCAAAGGTTGGCTGAGTTTGAATTTCGTGAAAATCAGCCCGAAATTGACAGACAAAATGGCCGCCGTTCGTTCTTAAATAGCGTAAAAATATGGTATATCAATATTGTGGACACTATAGAGGTCACAATTTTTATCAGATTTTGTTGAAACTTGAAATCTAAGTTGATAACCCTAAGATCTCGGTTCCTTTCGATATTCGCGCATATCGGACCATAACTTCCTGAATTATGGCCCCTGATTGTACCAAAAATCGTGTTTTTAGCTTGTGGACCCTATAGAGGTCATAATTTTTTATCAGATTTAAAAAAACGTATTATTATATCACCGTTACACCCTAAGGATGACTGAGTTCGAATTTCGTGAAAATCGGCCCAAAAATGACAGACAAAATGGCTGCCGTTCGTTCTCAAATAGCGTAAAAGTATGGTATATCAAGGTTGTGGACACTATAGAGGTCACAATTTTTATCAGATTTTGTTGAAACTTGAAATGTAAGTTTATAACCCAAAGATCTTGGATCCTTTCGATATTCGCGCATATCCGACCGTAACTTCCTGAATTATGGCCCCTGATTGTACGAAAAATCGCGTTTTTAGCTTGTGGACCCTATAGAGGTCATAATTTTTATCTGATTTAAAAAAAACGTATTATTATATCATCGTTACACCCTAAGGACGTCTGAGTTCGAATTTCGTGAAAATCGACCCAAAATTGACAGACAAAATGGCCGCCGTTCGTTCTCAAATAGCTAAAAAATATGGTATATCAAGGTTGTGGACACTATAGAGGTCACAATTTTTATCCGATTTTGTTGAAACTTGAAATCTAAGTTGATAACCCAAAGATCTTGGTTCTTTTCGATATTCGCGCATATCGGACCGTAACTTCCTGAATTATGGCCCCTGATTGTACGAAAAATCGCGTTTTTAGCTTGTGGACCCTATAGAGGTTATAATTTTTATCAGATTTAAAAAAACGTTTTATTATATCACCGTTACACCCTAAGGAGGAACGAGTTCGAATTTCGTGAAAATCGGCCCAAAAATGACAGACAAAATGACTGCCGTTCTTTCTCAAATAGCGTAAAAATATGGTATATCAAGGTTGTGGACCCTATAGAGGTCACAATTTTTATCCGATTTTGTTGAAACTTGAAATGTAAGTTTATAACCCAAAGATCTTGGTTCCTTTCGATATTCACGCATATCGAATTGTAATTTCCTGAATTATGGCCCTTGATTGTAGGAAAAATCACTTTCTTGTTAGCTTGTTCTCTATCCATCTCTCGAAAATGTGGGCGTATCCTGCCTGGCAGCCGCTGGTCTTATAAATATGTTTGGTGTGATCTGAAATGATACGAGGATAATAACTGATGAAGATTTCAAGACATGAGATTAGACTGTCTTGGTTAAAAACTCTTCAAACAACTTTGTTCAATATACTATAATACTGTGGACCAGAATGGGGTTAATCAATACTATAGAGGTAAAATGCCTACTTACACCCACATTGAAATGTGGTCGTATATTGTCGTCACCCCTCTCCGTCCGTCCCACCAGTCGGCGTCAACAATTGCATGTGGGTGCTCTAGAGGCTAAAGTTACTACCCAACTGACTTTAAATTTATGCACAGTGTTTAAGGTCACAACATGAAGAAGCCTGTCAAATTTTAACGATTTCCAATGATTATGGAAATTGATATGAAATGTTTTGTATGGTAAATGTTAGAATAGGGCAGAACTAGCGACAATCCTTGTCGACTTCCGGACGACTTAGCTGCTGTCAGCTATGTTTTGTTGCCTGGCCACCTATTTTTATATAATTGTGATAAATAAAATCTTTATGAAACTACAATTTCAATGATTTCTAAAATTTGAACCATGACATTTCTAAAATATCTAAATATTTGTTAGGCTTCATCCAGATTAATAGTAAAATGTTAAGTTCAGTTACCATAACCATGCTAAATGTAATTTAAAGTCATTCTTTATAATAAATATAATTTAATGTCATTCTTTAAAAGTAAAAATACCTGTATCATTCTTTAAAGTAAATATAATCTAAGATTTGAAACTGCTATTCTGATATACATGTACCTGTCAGTATAGGAGATCTGTGATAAAGGCTAGTAATTAGAATTTGTCAAGGATTATCTTTCTGACTGGATGTAACATTAAACTACCTGTACTCATTTTTCTTTAGACAGTTTATGTCCCTTTTCCTGGAATGGTTGGAACATATACTATCACCATAATATTGGGACTAAACAGACACAAGACAATGGCTTCTAATGGAATTTTCAAAAAACATGCTGACAATGATTTTATATTTAACATATAGAACTTTGCTTCTGGTGTGTGTATATAGGGGCCTGACAAGCCATCATTCAGTAACCAACAAGGGTCTGGAAAATCCTAAGGAGGAGACCAAAGCAAATGGTTTTGCAAGAGCTTCTAATACCTTCATCTTGTTTTTTTCTGCAGCTTCTTTTCTGACTATCTTAGTCTAAAATTGAGATCTTGGATCTCTTATATACTAGTATCTTAAATTGAACAAAGTCAATAAATAAAGAATCAACCACTCCTGTTTTTATATATCATTTAATTAGTAAGGTAATAACATTGTATTTTAAATACCCACATCAGGATAGTCAACAGGCATATTATACAAAACACTACATTGAAATACAGCTTTGCCCTCTTTCAGGAATTGACAATATGCAATTGGCTTATCACTTGCTTCCCATACACTTATTTCTATTAGATCCCCCTCAGCACTTTCACCTATATAAGACATTTGAATTTTCTTGATTCCGGAGTTCAATTTGTCTTGGGTTAGGGAATTAAAATATTTGTTAGACGATGCATTCTGAATAGCGTTGATTGCAAATCTGGAATATGATGCCGAGTTGGTATGATTATAGTTATCTGTGTCACTCCATGCCACATAGAATTTGTAAGTATAATACTTATCTGGTCTAACAAGTTTAGGAATAATAAGAGGCTGATTTCTAACAGTACAGCCTGAATATTTCTCCTTCCACCAATCTGGAACTGGTTTAGGTTTACGTGTCAACTTGTCAATCACGACAACCTGATTCACATTCCTCAGCAGAGTCATTCCATTGAAAGGTAGAGTCACTTCTGCCACAGAGTTCAAGGATGATTTTCCTATATATCCGAGATTTACCTTGATATCCAATGGTGTTTTCACAATTTGAATGTCATACATCATTTTTTCGACTTTGATCTCTGATGATGCCATAAATGTGAAGCAGTCGTCTGTCATTTTAGCATAATCGAGGAAGGTTGCGCCTGTATTGTCGATAGGATTATGATAGGCATAAGCACGGGCCGACATCAGTAACTTCATGATACTGGTAATTGATGGATTACCTGTGGATACATACATATGTCATACATAAATATTTTAACATTCCCCAACTCATTACTTCATATAATTATTAATGTATTCAAAGTAGATTGAACAATTCTGTTGTAATACAGGCTTTAGGAATATAGGGAGCCGCAGTGGCCCAGTAAGATACTGGCTCACTAACCTGATGGTCTGGGGTTTGATCCCGGTGTTAGCTGAGAAAATTCCTCTGGATTTTCTGGTGTGGTTTCTCCTTCTCAGGGGTGCAGGATGGAGTGCCTTACAAGGAACAGTGTCTAGTCATTTGGATCCTGTGAAAAGCTGAGATCATATGTACCCCTTAAAAGAACCCTTGACGTTGAAATTTCAAATATAAGAGTAGGCCATAGCACTGATGTCCAGGCAAAATTTTCCTCATTGCACACTGAATGGCGCATGCCTGTCTTCAGTAGCCTGATGGAACAGACAAGTAGGATGTTGAACCACTTTTCATTTCATTTTAGGAATACATGTATATAATAATTCTAAAGTGTGCTTTACAGGACCGCGGCATTATAGCCTACTCTTATTTCGAATTAAAACCGTTAGGGGTTCTTTTACGTGCAAGGCAATATGTGCACGGGGCCTTGTTTTTTCCTCCAACCCAAAGACTAACCCTCCCTTGCAAGACCCTCCGTACTGCACCACCGGCAAGGGGGAACCATGTTGGAAATCCTGATGAAATTTCTTGATCAACATAGAGATCGAACATGGAACCTCCAGGTTAGCTAGCCAATGTCTTCCGCACTCGGCCACTGTGGCTCCTCTAATTCATTGGGCTATAGAAATGAAATGGTGTTTAACATCCTATGTACTGTTCTGTACCGACTGGGCTAATGGAGACAAACATACACCAGTGTGCAATGAGGGAAAATTTGAGCAGACGACGGCACTATAGCAACTGCCAAGGGATCTTTTATGCCAGTTTGTAAGTGGGACATCGGTTTTTGTACCATTTGATAACTCTTCTCACTTGAGTTGCTATTATCAAAATGATTTACTTATTTACCTACATATCGTTAAACAGAATAATTCAATTCTTCTTATTCTGGCTGACTGTGACGAACTCAGAAATAGATTGTACGAGAGTATATTAAACAAATTGCATTAACTAAAGTATTTCTTGTCTGCGATATCACCTTGGGTGAAAGAAGTTTGTGCATCTTTACATCTGTATGGATAGGTGACTTACCATCTCTGTCGTATGATTCGAATGATAACCCTGGATGATGAACTACAACACCTGTTTTATCTTCATTAAAATCTTGAGTAAACTTCATGGCTGTCAAAAATGGAAGCCATTTGGGTCTGAAGTAAATGAATTTTATGTTTAGCCACTACAGTATACATGGGATTTTTCAAAGTGATGAAGGTTCATTACTTTGCGAGTAATTATCAGAAATCGTTGAAGACCAATTCGGATTCTTCATCTTGTGTATATAAATTCAAAGCTAACCAGCAGAGAACTTTAGCTTCGAGAGAAAACAGAGAGTATGCCAATATACCACATTTCAATAGAAATCTCACTTGATCAGGAGCATAAGACATTTCATTACTGCATGTTAGAACTAGAAGTGTAAAGGTTATCTAATTTTAAAGTAGCTAAGTCTCTAACTCAATATCATCCGAAGTCTTACACGTTGAAAACACAGATTATTTGTCAATTCAAATCAACATTGATGTTGTGATCTTACCGGGAAAAGGTAGGCTTCTGATATCCAATATTTAAGACAAAATAAACATTTTACCATTAGTACACGAATCGTGTACCATAATGCGTTTCAGCGTCACTTGTAACAAGTGACCAGAAAGAACGAGGTTAGACATATTCCACACCTCATGTCAAACGGTGACGCCTAGAGAGCATGCGCAATAGACTGGAATAACCAGACGCTAGAAATTGTTATTTTCGGTTGAGACTCATGACGTATTTCGCTGGATATAACTGATTTGAAATTAGAGTCAAAACGGAAACAATTGAACGTAAATCAGTGTATATATAATTAGATTACATTATTATATGGGTTGTGACCTATTTGGGTCAATTTCTAGGTCCCAAATATTAGCGATTTAGCTCCTTTAAATTCTTGCAAAGTACTATTATAAGGGCATATTTAAACTTAAATATTTAATTCCTTTTCAGTCAAGAACAGTTCCAATCTGGACCATAGAATCCCACTTAAATTTTTGTAGTGTGAATGGTAATCATTCTGAGAACCAGGCCCGTAGCCAGCTTGCTAGCTTCGGAGGGGCAGTGAAGTTTTTAGGGGGGGGGGGCACACCCGGCACAGTCTACAGTAGGTATTTTAGAGCTATGGGCCTGCTGAGAACACTCCTCTGCTCATGTGTCAGTCTTCACCTTGTAAAACCACAGGCGCCTGTAACATGGATAAAATATTTCAAAAATAACATTAAGCTATGTCTAAGTCTGTTACGTCCATGTTCATAATTAGAGAGATTATCAAATAACTGGTCTGATCCAATTTCTAACTCGGGGGCAAATAACTCGTCAGAAACCGATTCTCTTTCAGTATATATAATAATACCAAGGTGAGAAACGGGTCACGTGGATAATTTTTAAACATCATCGTAGACTTCATTGTCTACCTAGCTAAAATTAGTGAGTATTGCCACTGGTTGACGGAATCTAGAGTAGTGAACTTTGATCCCAGTTATTTAATTCTAATGGTTTCTGAGGAGTTATTTGTCCCAGTGTTAGAAATTGGAATCAGGCCAGTTACTTGATAATCTCGCTTATGAACATGGACATAACAGACTTTAGACATGTACTTATATAGTCATAGTTTGATGTTATTTTTGAAACACTTTCCATATTACAGGCACTTGTGGTAAAAGGAGTAGTACAGGCTATTTATAAACATGATTAACTTCTTCCATAACCTGACGAGACTGCTAACTCAGTAAAGAGAGCATCAGATTGCTGAAAAAACAGTCATTGGTTTCTATGTTTGTATTTTCAATAGAAAATAATTAAGAGTGGGCCAAATGTAACGAGATAGCCTGCCATGATCGAGATAGCCTGCCATGATCGGTTTAGGTTTCATTCGAATTGAATGCATGTGGACTGAAATTACCTTTTCTGTAAAGAATTCCACTGTACACTTCTGTCGTTTGCTCATTAACAAAAGAACATAACGTCAGTGAAGTGTCAAATGGGTGTATCTAAGAATTTCTAGATAAAGAAATAGAACCTTTTACATTTCAAAATTTCCACAAATCAAGATACACATTTGGATACATGATATCCAGAACAGTTCTAATTGGCCTTGAGATACACAGCTTAGACAGAAATGTGCATGTTAATTGGGAGATTTTAAAAAGTGCAAAAAAGTGTATTTAACTAATTTCCCGAGATACGCCCTTTTGACACTTCACCGACGATAAAAATGAATGTGACAAAATGTAACCAGATCAACCGCCATATTTGTTTTTAATGGGAGGTTGAAAAAAACTTTTCTGGGAAGAGTTCCACATTTAGTGTATCAGGAACAGTTCCGATAACAGTGTTTGTATAGCAATGTAAAAGAGCAAATTTCTTGACTTAACACTTAACTCGTATAGATAATATATTCTTTTACCTTCTTATTCCATCAGTCCCAGTCGATTGTTCAGATTTCATTTCATCCAAATCAGTCATTTTCTGATTTTGTGTGGTAGAATATCGCACAGAGGTACGACTTACATTATTAAGTAACTCGTCTATATAATAACCAGGCGATATCTTCTGTTTACCTATTTGGATACTCGTTCTATTTATGCAGGCAAACATGTGGTAGCCGACACCTCCTTTCACTTATTTTAAAACTATACTGTAAATCTGAAATTAAAAGATCAATTTGTCAAAAACAGGCTACTTTTATTTTCGGCGAGTGGCCATTATACCAACTTCAGTCGGTAAGATGGTTGCCTAACTATGTGGGCCAAGTCCAAAGGTCGTGTTACAATGTATAACAGCTTTAACCATAGAGTTGTCAAATCATACCTAGCATTTTGAAGTCTGGTTTTCGGGAGACCGGAGAGAGGGGGGGGGGGGTAGAGCCAAATAATAATTTCAACAAATAATAATGTAGTGCCATACTAGAGCGGGAGCCCGGTGGGGGGGGGGCAACCTAGCTGGAAAGTGTACGAATTGTCTCCTATATATGGTAGCCTATCAATGCATGCATATCTGGTATCATCAGAATGTAAGTCTGCCAGGTATCTGGTGGTGGGTGTGGTATTCTATGCCCAAAATGCCATACTCCACAACTAGGCATGGTGGAGCATCCTTGGCAAGAGTTATCCAATTTCCAGACCACAGCTAGGCTAGATTAGCTGAAATCTGTACACCATCTAAAACTGCGTTGAAGTTGTTCAGTATACCACCACAGAAATCATGAATGACAACTGCCAGACGGTGTGTGCGGTAGGTTACCCGTAACAGACATGCCCCAAAATGCCACGACACCCAACTAAGATAGATTAGCGGGCACTGTTCCCGTGATCCAAAACATTAAAAGTTGTGCCAGGATGCGTAGAATACTAATATCTAGCACGTTTGGAAGAGGCCATAAACTGCGGTTGCAGGAACGATTTTTTTTTTTTAAAAAAAACCGCATTTTTAGTGTCATAAAACGTGTTTTTTTTAAAACCAAAATCAATTTCTTTCAACCGCAGTTTATTGCCCCGGGCGCGGCAAATTATCTAAGTGCATCAGGAATATTCAAATGGGGCCCCTTTGGATATTTATGGACTTGCCTCCTTGGGGGATGAGATAGCAAATCACCGGACTTCGTCAGTTCGTGTCCCCTAAAACTGTGTACACCAGTTCATGTTTCAGCAAATATAGAATTATGATTTTTCCAAGATACATGTTCCACAGTTGGTCATCCTAAAAGAAGACTACGGCGATCCAAAAACACGAATAACGACCTATATATGGCCAGCTGTCTTTATGCATCACCTGTATGAGAAGTATCAGCAGGGTAAAGTGCCCGCTACGTGGACCAGAAAAAGAAAGAAGATGGCTAGTCTCAACGTCATCCGAAAAAAGCCCCAACTTGAGCCAATCACGGAAATAATCCTACGCGAGTTCAAGCATCGTCCAAAATAGTTCAGCTCTGAACGTAGGTCTCATTACACTCGCCAAGTACGTTCAGAAACCGGCCTAATTGACTCCTTCAAGTCCTTGTCGAAAAGTTTTCAGTTCTCAGTAAATTTTACTGGACAACGTTTTACTGCTAAACGGTCGTGTGTCAGTTTCTGTGAACGCCTGAACAATGAAAAGGAACATTTTAGTGAGAAAATAGACCTTGCGGCTTACCTCGCTGGAGTCGGTAGGTGCAACACGGCGATGATTGAGCAGATTTCCGAGGGGTGGGAAGGCAACCATGGCGTAAGCAAAGACATTGTCTGCGATATCACTCTAAAGTGAAAGCGGACACCAACACGCCTATTAGCCCGACTATCATACACACACAAGGTCAAATCCATTTGATTACGTTATAACGTGATAGGGGACACTTGTACTAAAAGATTAACAAGAAATGAATCGGTTATGGGATTTAATTCACCATGTAAAAATACGTGGAAAGAGCTCGAGTCTAAAAATAGCAAAATTTACTGTTTACAAACTAATAAAGCTCCTCTTCAATTACTATATCTATTGGGTTTATTTATTTAGTTTATTCACGTTTTGATCTTTTCCGTTGCTGCCTAAACCGTCAAAGCAATTTCTTCCATGTAGACACTATATAATCAATAATTTTGGTAAATATTTAATTATTGATTATTCTGAACGAGGAAAATTACATAAGAAATCCTGGGATATTTTCGACATTATGTTGTCACCCTGGCTTGTGAACACATTATATGATCCCTTTTCCGAGAACGTGACCGCTATAGTTTTTGGGGAGGGGGGGGGGGGCGGCGGGGCATCTGGGGGCGCTGATAGACCTACACTTGACGGTTTACGGCGAACGGTACCGTGGACACGCCTCCCTTCCGAGAAGGGTCTAGGGTGCTCCCCCCCCCCACTCCCAGAACATTTGGAAAATAGGGTTTGCACCTGAGGAGAGGTACTATGAAAATGACGGAAAATTTCAATTTTGAGACTGAATTTGCGATAATGGCATATTATATTTTGATATTAATATTATAAAAATTTTAAAAAAGGAATACAACTTTAGGGTACCTATAATAATTTATGAGCAAAACGAAAATTTCGGAATCGAGTTAGAGTCCGTCTTGTTTGAATTTTGAAGATTATGGACAGTGACAAATACAAGCTACAATGGAATCTTGTGATATGCCATGGGGTAGTTTTATTTGTAATTCAGATGTTTAGAGATGATTTAAACAATATTTTATTCAAATATATAATCAAATCACAGTTTGCGCACATACAGATGTCTTACAATAATTCTTGCAAATGAAGGTCAATGATTTATAATAATAAAATACGCTACGATTTCCTGATAATTGTAATAGAAATTAGGGTAGCACTATTTACCCAAATCTACCCAAACCCCACCATTATTTCAACTCGTATCACAATATTTTATATTTATATTTGATAACGTGATGATAAAACAAAACAATACTGTTCTTTATGCCAAATTTTAATTTAAAATCGTAGCATTTTTGTTATAAAGAACAGCAACTTATCAAAAATCAGTACAATTTATTGTGATACGAGTTAAAACAATGATGGCTTTGAGTAAATAATCAAATAACACACTTTTTATTGAATAACAATTACTATGGTTTATTTCAATGCGGTGATTCAACAAGATTTCAAATAGTAACTTTAGTAACGGCTTTTTATCGGACTCTGTCCTCTACCCGTTACTGTCTGTCCCTATACACATGTACCGGTGTGATAGTTTGAGTTGACTCCTGTTGTGTGTTTTCTCCTGGGCACTTGCGCATGTACGAAACTGATGTTTGCCTTAACAACGAAACTATATCTACTTCCTGCAGTGCGAGTTGGTTCCTGGTCAGACAGTCCAGGAAAAAGTATATCATGTACTTGATTAGAGTTTTGTCATTAATAAACATACTTGTTATCGTGATTAGCTGTTGTTTTAGTGATGAGTAGTTACACGATCAACGGATCTAAGTTGATTGGCTTGAAATTGATACTTCTATCGTTCGTGATTTGTTGCCGTTGTTTTTTTTTTAGTGATTAGTCGTTCTACACACGTACGATCAGTGGAAACCATACAAATTGATGATTGGCTTGAAATTATCAATTAATTCACCTCCAAAGGAAGATTAAGGCCTTTGATATTTCGTGGCTTCATTTATCACATATATAAAAGTATGGAATTTCTTATTCCGATTTCTTTAACATAAATATAGATTTATTATACCATCCCATACATTCAAACATGCATGTAGACAGCCCAAATACAAGAGAGAATGTTCGCATTGTGGACGGGTATATATACTAAATAATAATAATAAAGATTGTCAATTTGCATCCTCTCGTGGTGGTAATACTGTAAATATCGGTACATAATAGTCTGATTTGACCGTAAGAAAATCTTCGGGGAAATCCTATCACGAGGAGTCAATGCACACCGCGACTGTAACGGTGTGAGTTGACTCCTACAACTGCGCATGCGCCAAACGGTAATCACACACCAGGAACCATCTGAAACTGCCACACCGGGAAGGCCTAATATGAAATTAACGCTTTACACCACTTCAGTTCTAAGGCTATTTTGGAATCCTTACCGTCTATTTTTTCACCGTGATTCTTCTTTGTTCGCCAAAAGGAATCATTTGTCAACACATCTGACCCAAATTTATGATAATTCAACACTATATATTTTCAAGTAGAAATTTGTGATTCAAAAACACAAATTCATTTGAAATTGTAGGCCTACTACCGTGATGAAACACGCATTTGCGCAAAGCGGGGGTCATGGGTGCACGGCGATGGTTATACAGTCAATATTCAACATCTATGAATGGAATGTAGGCCCTAATCGTAAACAAAAATTCTTGCAGTACAGTACTTCAATTAACACACTAAACTGTCACTATTGATACCGCTAAAGTATTTGTATTTACCATACATAAACAACTATTACTTACATAAAATTGATTAATACATCATCATAATTAATTGAAGCAAGAATTCGGCAAACAAAGAATAATCACAGTGAAAAGTTCCCATAATCGTAGAGACTTGAAATTTTCAGGGGATGTTCAGGGGGACTAGCCCTGACCTGACACCAATTTTTATTTTTTTATTTTACCGTAGTTTAGCTTCTACTAAGAGAAAAGTTTATCCGATTTTGACGCCATTTTGCTTGCTGACTATTTAGACTCGTATAACAAGGCACTAAGACGGGTTCCGACACACTGCGCTTCCTGCCTAAGCCTTAAGGCTGCAGTTCATGATAATATAATTTTTATATATTTCAATTTTTGTGCTAAGCCACCAATTTCTGTAAACGACTATTTGGCGCTGACCAGTTGGATTGGCCTTTACGTGTGAACATCGCCGTGACCTTGACTTTGACGTCAAATTTCCTATCGAGCTCGGGGCCTTTGCATTTATATGGATGCCATGGCCATATTTCTTGCTGTATTATCGATGTTAATGTTCAAGGTGAAAGCAGAGACGATGCGCTTCAGGAAAGATAATTTGGTCAAAGTCGTGAATCAATGTCACGCTACAGAAAACTAAACTCAAAAATTTCGAATTCCGTTTTGGATATTTGACCTTGATTTACGACATGATCTTTGAGTAGCATTTAGCGATCGGGAAACACATTAACAGAAGACAGTTTTTACGGGATACAATCACTAGTTTTATTCTAAAAG